GAAGCCGATTTTCGTTATTTGGCCCCGACTATGATGTGATGGTACTATGTGCTTGGCGACGGCAAGATCGGTCCGAATAGCAGTAAGAGCCGACGTGGAATCAGTGAGGTTTCTTGTTTTCATTGTGAGGGGATTGTAGCCCGATTTCTAGCTTTTTGTCGAGGCAGGAGCAGCTTGGATGAGTTGTATCCAATGGATGTTATAAGCACATGCTGAGATTCCGATTGAAACCAAACGGAGACACAGTTGTCGTAGTAGGAAGCCTCTACAACATCTTAGATTTTCCATTTGGGTTGTTTGTCAAAACAGATACTCTTCGTCCGAACGTACACCCCACTCCGACTCAGACTTCTTCGGCGTGTGGGGAGCCGACTGATGCCAGAAGCCTGGCGTTAATGAGGTTGAGACTCTAAATCCTCATCTTTGCGTAGGAGCCCACAGAAGCCTTAAACCCTGTTAGCATCGACCTGTTCGGATTCTTTCCTGGTGGTTTCGGTGTTCGTGCTTTTCGCTTACTTACTGGTTTTGGAGGCTGTCAGGTTCGGTGTTTCGAGGTTCGGACTTTGGGATTTGTGTCAGGGTTAAGCTGAAGCTCTTGTGTGGCAAAAGAGAGGCGAAAGCTTAAGCCCTGCAGCAGCATAGTCATTACCATCTTTTTCGTCATCAGCACCACTGTCTGCACATTTGTTCAGCATCGTTATCACCATCGACATAATGCACCTTAACGAGAGTTTCTGCTCATCCTCTCCTCCCGTCTTTCCGAGCAGGTGCTTCGTCAACCACATCAACAACAACAACAGCATCAACGCCAACATCATAACTTTGGGCCCTTGGGCATCGTCATCAGCATGATACCTAATGCTACTCATCAATGGTTCAATGATGCCAGCAGGGCCCAGGTGTGTCTTCAGCTTCCTCTTGCTTCCTCAAATGTGATTTGGGGGGTAGCTGTGAACAAGGGTGGGATGTGAACCAGAGCCAGAGGATCCTTCGTCAGCGAAAGGATAATTTCGATGCTCTGTGTGCGGGTTCCCATTCCAGCCTCGCTGACCTGGTGTGTGTGTGGTTTGGCTGTTGACTGGTTTGCATGCCGTTAAAGTTGAACTAGTGGCAGCACTGATGCCTTTATAAGTTTACTTACAAAGCCCCATGAACCCTCAGTAGTCCACCAAAGAGAGACAGGACCAGGGATATTCTTCTGAGATGTGTCATTGAAAGGAAGTTCTTCAAATGGTTTTCTGCTGTCAGACACACCAAGTGCTGCGGGAATCGAGTTGCCCGTGCCTGTGCATCTTCCGGGCCAAATCTCACGTCGTCCACGTGTTAGCTCCGACCTCATTGAGTGTCGGGGCCGACCGAGTGCATGGCTTGGCTGTTGGCTCCCATGCCACAGCAGAGAAGCTTCGCGGACGGGATGCACTCAAGACGAGTTGAGCCTTCCGCCTGCTTTCTTTCCCACGTCTGTGCATCTTCAGTTCTCCAACATCGCTTGCAAAATATGCCAGGGACAGAGATCGAGCTGCACTGCAGAGCAGGACTCCAGCCAAACATCACTCCGCTCTGAGAGCATTTTGGTTGTTCTATCGGTATCGCCACGAAAGTGTTTTTTTCTTGGCAGCAGAACTTGACAATTCCTTGGTAGACATCTTCACTAGTCACTTGTCGTTGTCCTAAGCTGGTTCTGTGTTTCTTAGGTCACCATGACATTCGTGAACTACCGGACTTTGTAGAGGTTGAACCGTGGCTTAACAAATCAGGCAGCAGACACTCCGTAAGATCCTCAAACTTCTCTCACCAGCCTGCTGAATTGTTCGGGCGCGTAGGCCGGGAAGAGGTTTCTTGCTTGCCTGCCGTTGAGGCCTCAAGCCTTTGCAACCAAGTAGCCATGTCGCAAGCGCTCGTCTATGCCGTCTCCGTTGCCCTCACAGCTCTGATCCAGCTTTCAGGAGCAGCTCTTGGTGTTTCACCGCCTCGGGATTTTAGGTTCAGAGCTTAGGGACTTAGGGCTTAGGCTTCGATGTTCAGGGTTCAGGGTTTGGGTTCAGAGTTTAGGGTTGAGGGTTTAGGGTTGTGTTGGCTCCGCAACGCGCGTAGTCTGATTGGGCGACCCTGTTCCATGCAGGATTTGCTGTGGCCTTTGCGCTTCAGACCGAGGCCGGTGATGGAGCTGCAAGCCATATAATATAATATGATATTTTATTGCATTGCATTATATTATGTTAAATTTTATTGTATTGTATCTATCATTTTATACCAGAATATATTATGTTTTTTTACTTTACGTAGAATCATAGAGGGGCATCCCCGAATCCCAGAAGTGGACGTTTGACACCAGCGCACGATTCAAGAGTTGCTCTATGTTCCAGCGTATCGTATACCATCTTCTGTAGCACTTTGTGCTACTCTACCATTCAACATTAGCTTGTTTTATTACTATGTTTGGGGTTCATTAGTATCTAGCACTATTACGTTGTTATTTAGTATGCTTCCTGCCTAAAAACCCTAAACCCTAAACCTACATTTACATCCCTGCAGATTGCAGAGCTTCCCCGGCACCAGGAGTTAGCCCTGGACTTGCAGGCTTCATCATGAAAGCCTATACCTGAGGAGAATATAATGTAGTGTGCTAAAATATAATATGGTGTAATATAGTATGATATGACATAGGATAATACATTGTAGCATAGAACACAGTATTGAATGGTATACAGCATTTCCCTAAGCCCTACATTTGGCTTTAGGCCCGTATCCCTAAACCCAAAACCCTACTGATATTCTGGCACTCCACCCGAAGCCCCTCAACCTCAATCCCTGACCCCTGAACCCCTAAGCCGAGAACTTCGGGAGAGGTCTTTTACGACATCCTCGGTGGCAGCAACTTCCTCGCTCTGGCTGTTTGGTGTTGGCCCCGGACATCGAACCTGAGACGTCCCAAAACAGGCTGAGGAGCCCCACGATCCCTGAGGTCTAGGGGTTTCGGGTTTAGGGTCGAGGGTTAAACCCTAAACCCCAAGAACCTAGAACCTGAAGCCTAAAGCTTTCAGGAAAAGATTCGGGATTAGGGGTTTCCAGAACCTGAAACCGAAGTTCATTGTTTACGTGGTTAAGGCCAGTTGCGGCATATCAGTAGTAGCACAGCCGCTCACAACCAGTCGAAGCGCCAATAGCGGAATCGACTGACACTACTACTGCTTTTACTGCTGCATTGATTCCCTCATCCTTGATATCATCGTCATGCAATGATCTGCATAACGGCCCCAAGCTGCAGGCGGACTTCTCTAAACCCCAAGCAACGAAACAATGGACCCTGGAGTCTAAAACCCTATGTTCCAAAACCCTAAACCTTAAACCCTAAACGAAACCCTCAAGCCCTACACCCGCAAAAACACGAAGCCACGCGCTCCTCCCCCCCCAGCCGCGTTCAGGTCGTCCTGGTGTAGCACATCCTGGCTCAGCAATCCGAGGCATCCGGGGTCTGGTCTGTGCCGAGCATAGAATGGAATAGTATAGAATGGCGTGGAATAGTACCGACAAGCACAGTATACGGTACCGTACCTGTCGGACTCTTGTGTCCTGGGTTTGTTGTTTTTCTCCATTGTCTTATGCGGTCGGACTCCTGGGTCCTGGCTTTGTTGTTCCAGTGCTTTATCTTGTTCGGTCGGACTCCTGTGTCCTGGGTTTTTTGCTCCGGTTCGCTTTTTCTTGTGCCGTCGGACTCCTGTGTCCTGTGTTTGCTGCTCCGGTTTGGTGTTTCTTGTGCCGTCGGACTCCTGTGTCCTGGGTTTGCTGCTCCGGTTTGGTGTTTCTTGTGCCGCCGATCAACATTGGGGCCTGGCAGTATCCCGGAACGTACTATTCCCGAGCAGTTCTTGTATGACATACTACGCACCCTAACCCCTAAACCCTAAACCTTTTCAAAGAAGGACCTACACCCTCCCTAAACCCGAAACCCCTAAACCCCAAACCCAAAACCCAAAACCCTAAACCCTCTACAAGATTGGCCATTTGTACGAACTACCTGAAGACGGCGTGCGAGGCAAATTATCGCCACTGTGCTCTTTGTGATCTCCCGTGGTTGGCTCCTGGTCTCAGCCTAAGCTTCAGGGATTGAAGGGGAGGGGCTAGTGTGAATATAAAATATATATATATACATACATATATACATATATATATATATACATATACGTTCTGCTTCTTTTTTGATTGGGACCAGTATTGGGGTACAAATAAGAGTCTTGTGGGTGGCCTGGGGTCACTGCTGCTCAACGAAGCCGGTAAAGTAAGACGTTCTGCATTCGCTTTATGTATGGCACAGTCCGACAGATCACAAGTGCAATCAAGTGCACAAGAGGGTTCTCACAAAAACTATATTCCCCTGCATTCTCAGACCTAAAACAAGAGCTTCAGGCGAAACCGATAACTTGCTGTTGAGAAGTTCTAGTTCCAGAATGTCAGATTTAGGGCTCGGAGCTTAGGGCTTAAGGTTAATCCCACACACTCATCTCACATTTCTCCTCTCACTCAGCCTCCTCCCACTCAGCCTCGTCTCACTCACTTCGGCTCATACACTTTCATCTCACTGCCCGACATTGCGTTTTACAGTTTTTCGCTTTGGCTTGGGGGGCGCAAAGTATTCCTATATCCTGGGAGACGCTGTGCATGTGGGGTTATCCGATCCTTGGGGATTTGTCCCGGCACATGATGGGAGCAGGCGGGGTTTGGCTCAAGACAGCCCCTAGCCTGCAAGTAGCTAGATCATTCCTGCTTTGTGTGCCATGGTACTGAAGAGATCTTGGCATGGCTGCATGCCCTGTCTTGTTCTACTCTTGCTTTGTTTGCGCTTTCTTCAGGAAGGGTCCACAAGAGACATTGTGCAAAATCCCAAGCCAGGCTTTGTGCACGGCCTTTGCCGGCCACCAACAGCGTTTCCAAGACCGACAGCGCTCCCAGCAACAGCCGCCACTACAGGAGAGCATGTTGATCGCATATGGTGGGTGAAAATGAATGAGTACCAGCAACAAGTCTGGGCTCTGTCCAACGCGCTCGCGGGATTGCTGAGAGACGCTGAAGCTTCCAAGTTTCCCCCGACCTTGCGTCAGAAGACGCGAGAGCTGCAACAGAGCTGTGACAGGCTTCAACACTACATTGCTACGTCTACCTCGCGCATTCGGAAGGACGTGGCGGAGTGCATAGAAGATCTTGAAGCCATCCGACCATCCGCTCAAAACCCTGCCAGGCTACGCAGGAAGTTGAACAATGTGGAGGAATACCTGGTGGATATCAGTGAGACGTTTCAAAGCCAGGAGTCACGGGCTCAAGATTTAGAGTTTGAGATTCGATGCCTTGAAGATGACTTTTTCCGTCTGCAGAAGGAGACAGAGCAGACAACCACAGGGTATGAATTTGGAGTGAAAGTCTTTGCGGTGTGTGCTGTTGTCGCCTTTGCCGCTGTTGCCATTCCTGCCCTAGCAACAGCCGGTGGAGCAGCAGCAGCTGGAACTGCTGCGGCTGAGGGGGCAGCTTTGACAGTGGGAGGCGCAACTGTTGCTGAGGGGGCTGCTGTAGCAGCAGGAACTGCAGCGGTAGCCGAAGGGGCTGCCTTTACTGCAGGAACTGCGGCAGCAGTTGAAGGGGCTGCTGTGGCGGCAGGCACTGCGGCAGCAGTTGAAGGAGCAGCAGTTGCCGGTATCAGTGCTGAGGCTGTGGCTGTTCTTTCAGGGGGTGCAGCACTTGCGCTCAAAGGTGGCGCAGATGGCTGCCGTCAACTAGGGGAGTTTCTAGATCGTCAGCAACATTCCGTTTCAGAGCATCGGGGGTTTGTGAAGCAGCTTGAGACCGAAATTGATGTGATGAAAGATGATGTTTCCAAGCTTGAGAAGCGTTTAAATAGAGCCAATGATGCTATTGAAGATGATGATATCGAGGACGCTGCTCGTATATGTGGCCGTTTGGCTGGGCGGCTGAGTGAACTTGTGTAATTATGCTTTTCAGGGCGCCGCTTTTTCGGTATGCGTCAAGAACTACGGGCATCTAGATGATCCATGCATCATTATCCTAGGCAAGTGCCTTTAACATCCGGAAGCTTGAGGCTTGAGTCTGAAGGAGTTTTTGACCTTTAGCCCATTTGCCGAGTTTGAGGTTTCGGGTTTAGGGTTTAGGGAGGGCTGTGTACATCTCCCACAACTTCCGTGTCACCTGTTCTCACCAGGCTTGACTTCCGACCTCGTCAGGCCAATGTCAGAAAACAATTTCTGCTTGAGATGCTGCCTGGATTTGGGTACGACATAACACTCATGGGCTCCAAACAAGGCACGCTCATAAAGGAAGACGGTGACCTCCAAACTATTTCACCATCGCCAGCGCAGGAGTTCAGCTTTACAGCATCATGCATGATCTCTTGTAGCTATGCAGGCCGTGGCCGCAGCATCTTGCGTCCTTGCGCAGGGTCATCAGGGTTCAGGATTTACGGTTTGGGGTTTTGGGGTTTACGGTGCACAAGCATTGAAAATTGAAGAATGCCACCATCAGGGCGTGTGTTTAAATTGCAGATGTGAGGTTTGTATACAGTCGCTTTTTTGATGATGTCCTCAGCGCCGTCTGCAGCTGCACTGTCGTGATCTTCGGCGTGGCAGTAGGAGCAATAAGCTGCTTCGTTTTTACATGTGTGGCAATAGCGAAGCTCCTCTAGCAATGCCGTGAACCTTTAGACACCCCGGCATTGACTATCGAGCCCGGTAATTGCACAAAGAGACAAAAGAACTGGTATGGGTTGGACGGTAGGTATTGCTGCACCTCACCTGGCACAGAAAACTTGGCATAATCGCCGTGAACAGCTTACACTACTGCAACGCAACATCGACGCAGAAATCCTTTATGGAACCCCTCTAGAACCCTCTAAGACCCTGATCCCTAAAGCTTCCTGAGTTTGAACCCTGCTATAGGCCTTGTAGGCCTATAGAACTCTCTGCAGAACCCTCTCAAACCTTGTAGCACCGCTGTAGAACCAAGCCTCATAGAGCTTTTATCAAATCGTTATCGAGGCCTTATCGGAAAATGAGGAAACTTATAGGAACCCCGATTCCTTACGGCAACCGTTTATGGGATCCTAAGCCCTAAACCCCTCAACCCCGAACCCTAAACCCTCGACCCGAGGATCCCCTTTAAAGGAGCCCTAGGACCTAGGAACCCTAAACCCTAAACCCTAAACCCTAAATCCTAAACCCTAAACCCTAAACCCTTAAAGACGCCGTCAGAGGTCTTCCTGGCATGGCGAGCTCACGAGCGCAAGGGCGACGCCCGCTTTGCCCCTTCGGCTCGAGGCTTTTTTGGGCTACTGCAGTAGGAGTGCTATGTAAACATAGGTATATGCATCTAAGTAGCGTCTACATACATACATACATACATACATACGTACATACGTACATACGTACATATGTACATACGTACATACATACATACACATGTATATACATATAGATAGGCTAGGTAGGAATGTCGACATCTAGATAGAGGGATAGATACATGTGTGTATCTATGCATGTACGTGCGTAGGTAGGCAGCTAGGTAGGTAGATAGGTAGGTAGGTAGGTAGGTCCTGTAGGTAGGCAGGTAGGCGGGTAGGTGGGTAGGTGGGAAGGTAGGTAGGTGTGTATGTCAATTATGCAAACATGCACGTATGTTCTGTTCTGTTTTGTGATGCTACGTTGTGTGTGTGTGTATGTATGTATGTATGTATGTATGTATGTATGTATGTATACATGCATGTGTGTATGTATGTATGTACGTATGTATGCACGTATGTTGTGTATGTTATGCATGATGTGTATGTTATGTGTGTTGTGTTCGGTGCGTCTGCTATGTCTGTAACATATGTTATGCTTTCTATGCTATGTTATGTCATGTAATGTTATATTATGTTATGCTATTTTGTGCTATGTTATGTTATGTTCTGTTCTGTTATGTTATGTCTGTGATGTTATGTTATGTTATGCTATGTTATGTTATGTTACTGTAATGTCTGTAACTTATGATATGTATGTATGCAATGTCTGTAACGATTGATTTGAATGATATTATGTGTGATATGTATGTATGCTGCGTATGTTATGCACGTTCTGCATGTTGTGTATGTTGTGTGTGTATTGGTGCCATGTATGTATGCTATGTATGGGACGCATGTTATGTCTGTCATGTTTGTATGGTTCAGATATTATGGATGCCATGCAAGTCTCTGTCATGTATGTTTTGTACATGCATATGTATATGTACATGTACATGTTTACGTGTATTTGTATGTGTATGTGTATGTGCATGTGGGTGTATATGTACATGCATCTGTATTTGTCTATGTGTATGCCGAGGTGTTTGCATCTGTGCTTGTGTATGTGTATGTGTATGTGTATGGGTTCTTCAAAGGTTCCTATATGGATTAAGGGTTTAGGATTTGGGGGTTAGGTTTCAGGGTGTGTAAATGGAGCTTCTGGAGGGGTTGCTATACTGGCCCTTCCAGTGCTCCTAGAAGGGATGCTACAAGAATTTCGGTTTATTGTAGGGGCTAGGACCGACTAGGAGGGTGCCTACAAGGGCTCCTATAAAGGTTCCGAACAGTGTTCTGGGAATTCGGGGATCTAGATTCTAGAGTTTAGGGTTTCCACATAGGGACCCATCAGCGAGTCAGACGTTATTCTGAAGGTGAGAATAGGGCTGCGGGGTATATTATGCTTTAGTTATATCAAGACGACAAGAGACTCTTTTGAAACTATTCCGACCTCATTATAGCGGTTTAAGATTGAAGCTGTAGCACCTTTGTCGCTCACGTCAGCCCAGATGGCCTTACCTCCCTTGCTTGCTCGCATGTCCTGAAGAGCTTCTATCTCAGTTCGAAATCATGGAGGAAGCCGAAGAGACACCACGAACCTGAAGGCAAAGGTTCAAGATTCTAAACTCCATTGCTTGCGGCGAAACCTGAATAGTTCACCCCACACACTGACACCCTAAACTGCCCCAACATCTGCATCCCGTCACTCAGGATGGTGTGAAGGATAAGTTTGGCAGATTCCTGGTCTTCTGGATCGTGCAGGGCATGTGGGTGATGTTGATCTCCATGCCGAACCTTTTCATCAATTCGTCCAGCGCGAGCAGGCGCTCTATCCTTAAGTCGCCGCCCCCTAAAGCAACCCAGATTGAATTCCGCAAGCTACTTGCCCTGCGAAGTTTGAAGCCCAAAGCCACCTACCTACTTTCAGAACGCTAGAAGCCTAAACATCAGGCTTGTCAATGCATTGTGTCGACAGGAGCTCAAAAACGGCCCCCTGGTCCTTGCTCTCTGAGCTAGCCCCTTGAACCTCTCAACCTTAAACCTCTGCAGAAGCGGCATGGAATTTTCGTAGAACCCTTACAGCGCCTTTCTAGAAACCCTATAACATCCTGTATGTCCTGAATGACAGGCCCCTCAACTGGTTCGACTGGCTTCTCGTAGCTGGTTTCGCCTATGCAGTTGTCATCGAAATCCTGGCGGACATCCAGACGCCTGGGACTCTCCAGTCTCCGCTTTGGGGTACTTTGGAATGCTAATTTCTAACCCACTTACCAAAACAAATGCAGCACACTCACACTCAGACCCACACCCAGACTCACACTCACAGTCTCACACGCTCACACGCTCACACACTCGCACACTCATATGCACACTCACACTCACACTCTCACGCTCACTCACACGCACACACACACACATACATATATACGTACATATATATATATGTATATACACACATGTGTTTTTGTATAGTTACATAAATACATATACACATAGATGCACGCACGCACGCCATCACGCACGCACGCACGCACGCACGCACGCACGCACGCACGCACGCACGCACGGACGCACGCACGCACGCACGCACGCACGCACGCACGCACGCACGCACGCACTCACGCACTCACGCACTCACTCACGCGCACACACACAAACACAAGCACA